GCCATCATTGTTGTTTGGCGGGCCCGGGCTGGGGATTTGAACCCGCCACCTTAGGTGTATGTGGCTGGCGCCTTAGCCGCTTGAGCCACAGGCACCGAGCCAGGGTTGTGGTCTTAAAGGAGTTTCTAGACCTGAAGGGTTAAGAGCAGCTGCTATTAACCAAGGAGCTCCTGGTAATAAACAGTGGTGGAATCATACCCAGCAAGCAGCTGGGACTTTGCTGGGCTGGGCAGTGGGTGGTCCCAGCACCCCCTCTGTGGCTGGGATTCTTAACCCCATCTGCCATGTCCCTCTAGGTGTGTGCTTTGCGCGTGAGTAGCCGGGCCCGCACCCGAATCCTCAAGGCTGGGGGCAAAATCCTCACCTTCGACCAGCTGGCCCTGGACTCCCCCAAGGGCCGTGGCACCGTCCTGCTTTCTGGTGAGTGATGTTTAGTGGTTCTCAGTGGAGGGGGGGGGTCAGAGGAGTTATGTGGCTACTGGCAGTCCTTTACCCTCTCGTGTCTAGTTCATATACCCATCTCCCACCCCAAATCATTCTCAGCCCTGTAAGGGCCAGTTGGAGAGTGGCTTCCTGTAGGAGCTGAAGGCCAGGTCTCTGTCTGATCCAGTTCTCCCTTCTCCAGGTCCTCGCAAGGGCCGGGAGGTATACCGGCATTTCGGCAAGGCCCCAGGAACCCCGCACAGCCATACCAAGTGAGTATTGGGACCCCATCCTGCAGGTCCAGGCTCATCCACCCTTCCAGCTGCTTCTCTTCCTCATACCAGTCAGCCTCAGGCTCCCTATAATGGCTTTCCACATCATCTTACCCAGTTTTTCCTTCAACTCAGAGTGGTGTTGGGCTCTGTGGGCAGGTAGTATTGAAATGTAGGCTCTCAGGCTGAGTGGGCATTTGCTTGGGGGAGCCTGGGCCCTGCATTTTACCCAGGTCTTGTGTGCTCAAGTTGGGACTTTCCAGGTCTTGGGGGGCACTTTATCTGCCCTTCTTTGCATCTTGGTTTCCTGCACTGCCAAGCTTTTGTAGCAGCCTACAGCCTTCTCAAGTTGAGCAAGGTGCCTTTTGGGGGTCCTTGCACTACTTAGTTAGCCCAAGCATCACTGCCTGCCACTGTACAATAGGTACCCTCTCACCTAATCTCCTTTTCCCCACAGACCCTATGTCCGTTCCAAGGGCCGGAAGTTCGAGCGTGCCAGAGGCCGACGGGCCAGCCGAGGCTACAAAAACTAGCACTGGAACCTACTGTTTTATTAAAAAGATTTTGGATGCAGATGGCCTTCTGTGTGCTTTTTGGGCAACAGGTTGGGGGATTGACTCCTGTGGGTGAGAATGCTTTGGGGACTGCTGGCAGCACCAGAGATGACCAACCTCTGGGAACAGCTGTGCTTCCTTGTTTCCAAGGGACTGAAAGTACCCTCTGGTAGGTTTGCTTGTGGGGGAATCCGGCCCTCACCACCTCTGTTAGACTCTTCCTGACTCTTGGCATCAAAACGTGGGCTCCTCCCTTAGAGCCAGGTGTCAGGTGTTTACTACTCAGTCCCACCTCATCCCTTAAAAGACCCTGCACCCTTCCCTGGTGCTAGGGAGGGTGGGCAGGGCATGGACAAGGAAGTATGGGTGGGGTGGGTGGTAAGACTCCTGGGTGAGTGCCCAGTGGATGTGTGTTCCATGGAGCCACACCCCCTGCCTCCCAAAGACCTGGGTTGGCCCTCCTATGTTGACACAAGGGGCTGAGTTCTCCAGATCCCAGGTTGCTTGCAGCATGATCAGTAAGGCAAGAGGGACTTCCAGAAGAGCCAGAGAAGTAAAAGGTTTCCAGTGCCTGGTAGTCACTGTCCTCTGGAAAGGCAAGAGAAGGAAGAATGGAGATGGAGACCCAGACAAAGCAGCTGGTGTGTGTGTAGATGGGGGCCTGCTGCCACCGGCCTGGCCTTATTCCTTCTTTCCTTTTTGCAGGTCTTGCTGTGGTCTGGAAGAAGGCAGCTGCCTGGGTTGCTGAGATTAGGAGGAGCTACTGGTTTGCAGGGATCCAGAGTCCCCGAGGTTGGGTTAGGAGCCTCAAAGGGGGAGCTGGGACTTGGGAGGGAGGACAGGATATAGAATGGCCTACTGTTCAAAAAGTGGACCGACAGCTGGCAGGATTTAGGCAGAAATCTAGGCTAGGGTCAGCTTGGCCAGGGCTGAGCACAGATCAGAGGACAACTCCAAACAGGTCCAAGGGCTGGGACACAGGCAGCGGGCAGCCAACCTGGGGACGGTGGTTAGTGCCTTGAAATCAAGATGGGCTGTCAAGATCACAGGTTTGACTTGTAGTAATGAAACCCCCCATGAAGTGCATCGCTCCACTGCAGCAGCCCAAGGGAGGCTGGTGGGTCCTGGGACCAGGGTTCCTGATTGATGGGAGGGACTTGAGGCTGGAGCTCCTTCCTCCAAGGCAGGCATTGTGGAGGGTCAGCCAGTGAGAGCTAGTGAGCCAGCGAGCCAGTTGCTCCAGGCAAACAAATTCAGGAGACAGCTGGGCACTCCACCCTGCAGGTAGATAAGTAGACAGAAGCAGCTGGCGTTTGCCAGACAGTGGAAGAGTCAGTGTTGCTATCGGCTAGCCCCTTGTTAGGAGACATTTGAGTGGTTGAAGACAGCCAGTCTGTTGCATGGAAATGGTCAGTCAGCTGGGTCTTCAGCCTGAGCAGGTAGGTAGTCAGCCTGACCAAGTTCAGGACAGTGGAAGGTATGGGAACACTTCATGATCAGCAGACTGGAAGGGTCACACAGTTGGAGACAGTGTCAGGAGGTCAGCCTGACCGGCAGGACCAGCTAACAGAAAGGTCAGAGCTGGCCAGCCAGGCATGGTGTTAGCTGGAGACAGCAGGGAGTTGGTCTGAGCCTGAGGTATCAGGTGGTTAGTCCTGTGGGTAGTCTGATTATCAGGACAGTGAGTCCAGGGACAGCCACAGGGAACCATTTGGACTTCTACAGGGCCACCCTGGAGGCCTCTGATGGCCACATAAGAATCTGCCTGTCAGGAGACCCCAGATGATCTGTCCCTCAAAGACAGACTGACCCTCAGGGAACCACCCCTGAGTGGCCCCAATGGCAGCCTCCCAGTTGGCTGCGCTAGAAGGAGTGGAGTCTGGGTCTGGGGTGCTGCCTCTGACTGAGGCCAGCCCTGGCTGGTTATATTCTGAGGGCCAGCGGCTGGCACTAGAGGCTCTGCTGAGTGAGGGCGCAAAGGCATTCCAGGCATGTGTGCAGCACGAGGGGCTGCAGCCCTTCCTGAGTGAAGATGAAGTCCAGGGCTTGGCAGTGGCAGCTGAAGACTGGACAGTAGCCAAGCAGGACCCAATCTGGGCAGCAGAGGGTGCCACCATCACTGAGGAGGATGTGGGCAGCCTGACCTACTGGCCTGGGCAGTCGGAGCAGCCAGCACCCATCCTGCGCCTGGGCTGGCCAGTGGACTCAGCCTGGAAGGGCATCACCCGGGCGCAGCTTTATACCCAACCCCCTGCAGAAGGCCACCCACCCATCAAGGGACTGTTGCGCCAGGAAATCCGGGCTGCCCACAAGGTGGGTGCTCTGGAGTTTAGTGTTCATTCCCTAGACCTGGAACAGGGACCCTGGCATCCTCAACCTTGCCCTCTCGAGACTTATAAGTACCCTCAGGACCTGAGTTCATATCATCGAAGACTTAGGCCCCTGTCACCCGGGTGGCCACACTTTCCAGCCCCCCCAGGACCAGATGTCCACATCCCACATCTCATCCTTCCCTCTCAAGTCCCTCTCAGGGACAGCCCCTAGCTGTCCCTGCCCCTTGAACTTAATTATGACCCCCTCACCAGTGTCAATCATCCATTTTATCTTCCACACCAGGCTGGGGTCTCCATCTCCCTGCAGCCCTGGTTCTTATCTCCTCAGTCTCAGTAACAGTGTATGTGCATAATGCCCAAGGACCCTGGGAGGGAGGGACTATTAGGCCACTGAGGCAAGGCATGGTTAAATTTATTGCCTATAAGTGTCCAAGATGGGATTTGAACCCAGGCCATCTGGCTAGTGAGTCAGGGTTTGTCACCACTACTTACTCCGCCTGTAAGATCTGGGTTTTCAGCACCTCTGGGTCCCCAAAGCTCGCCTCTGGTCTAGCAGGTCACCCCTCCTACCCCCAGCAACCAAGTCATTCCAGACAACCCAGAAGTGCAATCGCTTACCCACAGTGCCCTTCAAAGGCATCCGGCCTCTAACCTCAGGGCCAGGCTGCCATGAACATTTGGGGACCTCAGTGCCATAGCTCATAGCCCAATGTAGACATGTACAGTGACAATTTTCCAGAAGTCAGGGGCTGGGGGTTTTGAGGAAGGGTCCCTCTTCCTCATCCAAGCACGGGCACTGTCTCCTCTTTGCCCCTCAAACAACCCAGGGAGTTCAGGCCCTTAAACTCAGAGCCCCTCAAAGCACCACAGCCCAGTCCCTAATGTCAGCCCTCTCCCAGACCCCTGATTGTCCCCAAACTCCAGGCTCTGTCTACATGTCTGCATCCCCTCTCCTCACTCCCAGCTGGTGGCTGTGGTCATGGATGTCTTCACTGACCCAGACCTGCTTTTGGACTTGGTGGATGCTGCCACACGCCACTGGGTACCTGTCTACCTGCTCCTGGACCACCAGCGGCTGGCTGCTTTCCTGGCCTTGGCCCAGCAGCTGGGGCTGAATCCTTGGGCCACAGAGGTAGGGCCAGGCCAGAGGGCCTCGTGAGTCCCCTGGCATGGGGGTGAGCCCTCCTGGGGGGTCCTGAATCGTAGAGATGGATACCAGTCTAGATGGTCCCCAAGATCTGACCTCCATGCCGATGGGGGGTGATCAGTTGTTCACATGAGGTCTTGAGCCACTGAGTTTGGGGTATCTTTAAGAGATGCCTGAGGCTCTGGGGAAGCTGGGACAGACACTTCTTCAGAGTCTTTGGTCACTGAGTTAGAACCAGCCTGGAAAGACCCCAGAGCAAGATGTGCCCTCCTCACCCACTCCTCACCAGAACCTGGACATCCGCATCGTGGGGGGCTGTAGTTTCCAGAGCCGCTGGCGACGGCAGGTGAGAGGCAACATGCGGGAGAAGTTTGTGCTGCTTGATGGTGACAGGGTCATCTCAGGATCCTACAGGTATGGCCCCCTATAATGCTGCCCAGGATTCTGTACCCAGCCCCCCTCAGTGTGCTCAGAGAACAGCTGCCACTCTCTCTCCTAGCCTCTCTTTACTCATCTGTAAAATGGGTCCAAATCGCCCTTTTCTAGTGAGGAGGTACTATGAGGCAGAGTGGACTTGAGGTGGAAGCCAGGCTTGCTGCTGGCCCATGGTGGCCTTAGGAAAGTTTTTCTCTCTGACCTGTGTTTCCTCATGTGGAAAACTGGGGCCACAATTTGGGGATAGGAGGATTCAAAACCAGGAGGACCTGAATTGGAGTCAGAGTTCTGCCTGTGTTAGTAACTTTACCTGAGTGTAAAAAAAGTAAGAGCCAGTGTGCAAATGTCCTGGCCCACAGGGCTCACATTCCTTCTTTCCTTTCCTTGGGATCCAATTGACCCCAAACCCTAGCTCAGCTACACCCTCTGATACTGAGCTGGTTCCTCCCCCACTCTCAATGTCAGTTTCCCCCTCTGGAAGGTGCAGTTAATAACATCATCTACCTCACTGGGTCACAGCACTGTGGGGAGTTGGGGGCATGGACTCTGGGGCTAGATGGCCTGGATTCAGATCCTGGTTCCACCAGTTACTGTGTGACTTGGGCAACATACTTTACCTGTCTATGCCTCAGTTTCCCCTTCTAGAGAATGGGCTGATTTGGTTAGTGCCTCTAGGAGAAGGTTTCTCAACAGACATTTTGGACTGAATGTTTGTTTGTCATGGGGGCCACTGTATGCACAGTGGGACAGTGAATACAGTGAGGCTGAATACAGCCTCAGCCTACAAGATGGTTGCATCACATCCCCCACCTGCCACAACCCTCTCTGACAATTATGACAACCCCCAAAGTCTCCAGACATTGCCCGATGTGCCCTAGAGAGCAGAGGTGGCCAGCTGAGAGGTGAAGTACTCGAGCACTTCAACCTCGAGTGTGCACCAGAACCACCAGGGGACTTATTAGAACACAGCTGTGGGGCCTCATGCCCATTCATGGAGTCTAGGACAGAGCCCAAGAATTGGCATTTGTTGGGAGTTCACAAGTGATACTGATACTGCCAGTCTGAGGACCACACTCTGAGAACTGCTAGTGGTTAAGACTGGATTATTTTGGGAAGTTTTTTTGTTTTTTGAGACAGAGTCTCAGAAGAGAGTGCTGTGGCATCATAACTCACAGCAACCTCAAACTCTTGGGCTTGAGTAATCCTTCTGCCTCAGCCTCCCAAGTAGCTGGGACTACAGGCACCCTTCATGATGCCTAGCTAGTTTTTTTTCCATTTTTAGTAGAGACAGGGTCTCACTCTTGCTCAGGCTGGTCTTGAACTCCTGAGCTCAAGAAATCCACCCACCTCAGCCTCCCAGAATACTAGGATTACAGGCATGAGCTACTGAGCCCTGCCAAGGACTGGAATATTTTGGAGAGTATCTACCTTCCCAGCTTCCCGTGAGGATTCGGTGGGATGATGGTGCCTGGCACGTAACATAAGAAGTGCTCCATAAATGTCTCAGCTGTCATTTATTATAATTATTATCTTATATATATATATATATATATTTTTTGTTTGTTTGCTTTTTACCATATTTCATCAACTCTAAGGTACAACCTGTGGAAAGAAACATCCTGATCAAAATGTGGAAAGCTCTGCATCTAAGAACCAATGAAATACATTAGTGTCCCCCACTGTTAAATCAGGCCTGAGTATGCTTCACCAAGCACTGGGCTCCTGGTGGACAGCCCCAGAATGGATGAAGCTAGGGCCACAAGAGGTTGTCCAGGGCCTCTGGCCATTTAATGGGGGAAGGGGGGGCACAAGGAACAGTGGAGCTGAGAGACCAGTCCCAGGCCCTGCCCTCCCTGTTGGTCACAGCAAATGTTGAGGAAGCAGCAAGCCCAGCCCCAGCACCAGACCGACAACAGTCCCTGCTGTCCGACTGCCTGCAGGGCCAGGGGCATTGTTACACAGGTTGCCAGTACAGCACTTGGAGGCGAGGGTGTAGGTGACGCCCTTGTAGGTGACAGGTTCCTCCCGGCCACATTTAGTGGCCTGCACACAGCCCTTGCTGATGATTGGACCAGTGCCTTGGGCAACCCCATGGCCTATGAAACAGTCCTCATCGTCGCCACAGCGCATGCGGGTGCCGGCACAGTACTGGGAATCAGTTGGCTCACAGTAGATGCAGTCCTTGATACCCATCGTGCCTGGGGGCAGAACCATCACCAGAAGCAGCAGCCAGCCAAGGACCATGGTGGCCTGGTGGCAGAGATAGTGCCTGAGCCAGGCCTTGGGCTTCCTGGACCTCCCGGAACTGCTGAATGAGTGACTTCCTGAAACCCCCTGCCACACAACTTTTGCCCCGTATTCTGGCCTCCCAAGGTCAGCACATGGAATGTCCTCAGTTCCCAATGCTCTGTGTCCTTTTTGGAGTCCTTGAGGTGGAGTTAAGCCAGCAGCCGCTGCCCAACAACAGTCTTGTAGAGTGGAATGAGATGACCTCACAGATCCTTCAGAGTTCCCACTGGCCACTCTGGGGGGTGAGGTCATAGGTGGGAGGAGGGATGTCACAATCCAGATGACTCTGCCACCCTGCCAAGGTAAAGATGCTCTGAACAACACCAACGATGCGGGCTGAGAGCTTGTACACTCTTGTGTGCCTCCCTTGCACACTCTCTTGTATGCCTCCCTTCTGAGGGCTTGACTTCAGCCTCACACTTTCCATGGCAACCCTGTTTTCCAGATGGACAAACTGAGGCTCAGGAAGGGAGAGTGATGTGTCTGAAGTCCTTGAGCCAGGATTAAGGCTTGGGTACATTCAGTCCCAAAGAAACTGGGAGAGAATGGAACATTTACTGAGCACTTACCAAAGATGTATGAGCTAAGATCTATGCTCAATGCTTTAAATCACAGTGGTAACAGGGACAAAAAGGCAAAGCTTGTAGCTCCTCTACATGCAGAGAGTTTGCTCCCATTTGAACCTTCCTGTGTTTTAGCTCCATATCACAGGTGAGAAAACTGAGGCACAGGGTGGGAATGGCCAGAATTTGGCACACAGCAAGTGCTTAATAAATGGCAGTCATTCTAGGAAATAGCAGAATCTTCCTCCACCCCAAAAGTCTGAGGATAGCAGAGTCTTAGTTCCTATGACTATTAGGAAACTAACCCTATCTCTTTCTAGAGAAGGAAACTAAGGTACTGAGGCAAGCCTTGGTGAGGACTGGGCAGAATCCAGGTCTGAACTGTGGTCTGATTCCAGATGATGACAAGTTTTTTTTTTTTGCGGTGGCGGGGTGGGGCGGGGGGGGAGACAGAGTCTTACTCTGTGACCCTGGGTCACAGCAACCTCAAACTGTTGGGCTCCAGCGATCCTCCTGCCTCAGCTTCCCAAGTAGGTGGGACTATAGGCACCTCCCAAAATGCCTGGTTAGTTTTGCTATTTTTTGTAGAGATGGGGGTCTCACTCTTGCTCAGGCTAACTCCTGAGCTCAAGAGATCCACGCACCTTGACCTCTCACAGTTCTAGCATTAGAGGCTTGAACCATCACACCCAGCTGATAAAAGTATCTTAAATCATGTCCTTACGTCAACTCTCGGGGGAAGGTACTTCTGTTGTTCGCATTTTACGGAGGGAGAAGCTGAGGCTCAAGAGGTCAGCACTTGCCTGAGGTCAGGCAGCCTGCCCCAGGATCCATCTGGGGACTAGGTTGGGCCTCTGGGGCTTCGCAGAAACCCTGACCTCTCCCCCCCACACTCTGTGGCCACCAGCTTCACGTGGAGTGATGCACGCCTTCACCGAGGCCTGGTGACTCTGCTGACGGGTGAAATAGTTGATGCCTTCAGCCTTGAATTCCGGACGCTGTATGCAGCCTCTTGGCCTCTCCCACCTGCATCCACTCAGGGCCCCATGGGCAGTGTCTTGGGGGGCCTGCAGCTGCCCCGCAGCCCACATCATGTGTCCCGCCGCCGGTCTGTGGCCCCTGCGTCACCCCCACCACCTGATGGCCCTCTGGCCCATCGCCTGGCTGCCTGCCGCATCTTCAAGGGGGACAGGAAGGAGTTTCCCGCACCTCCAGGCCCAGCACTCAGTGACATCTTAAGGAACATTCAACATGCCCGGCCCACCAGCGGCCCCGCAGCCCGGCCCAGTCGCTCCCTATGGGACCTGAGCCGCCTGTCCCAGCTGTCCGGCTCCAGCGATGATGACAAGGTAAGATCTGGTGGCTGCTGCCAGAAGAAAATGGAGGCAGCTTATGCCCAGAAAGGTCAGGCACTTGCCCACAGTCATACAGTGGTGCTCCCATGGGGGCTCTGCTCTCCACCATGAGAGCAGCCATGAGAGTAGGAAGCTGAGGGCCTGCTTTCTGAAATTCACAGCTGCGCCTCCACTTCCTGTACCTCCACTGTGTGCTGGACAGGCATGTGAGGGATGGCATGGGGCTGAGGTCTGTTCAGTCTCGGTTTGGTTAGGAGGAGGAATTCCATGAGGATAAGTGAAAGAAAATGATTGTAATAATAAATTCCCCTTGTGGAATTTATTTTAATTTACTTCATCACATCCTCATTCTGGGCTAGGAGGCCACCCTCTTATTATGCCCATGTTTATGGATGGGGAAGCAGAGGCTTAAAGAGGCCAAGTTGGGTGGTGCCTGTGGCTGAAAGGAGTAAGGCACCAGCCCCATATACTGGAGGTGGTGGGTTCAAACCCAGCCCAGGCCAAAAACTGCAAAAAAAAAAAAAAAAAAAAAAGAGGCCAAGTAACATGCCCAAGGTAGACACAGTCTCTCTTCTAGGCATCTTGCCATGGGCCAGGCCCCAGCTCAAGCACTTGCACAGAGGGCGTTAAAACCTTTGCCTTAGCCCTGTGAAGTGTTATTACAGTCCTCCACCCACCTGTTTCACAGATTGGGAAACTGAAATGTCAGAGAGTGATTGGAACTCGACCCTGGCTGCATTTAAATGCCCTGCTCCCCAGATTTGAGTGCCATGAGGGTGTTGGGGAGTGGGAGAGGATTAGGGAGAGCTCAATGGGATCTCCTATGCCCACTTCCCCATCTGTTTAGAGAAGGGGTTCTGGCAGAGCCTGTTCTAGTTCACTTTGTGGGCAGGGGGTGTCCCTGGCAGGTTGATTTTTTCTCTCCTAGTCTCAGTTTCATCAGTTGTAAAGTGGGCTATTGCAAGGGCAAGAGCAGAGCCATGTGGGGGAAACAGGTGGACTTGCCAGGATGCAGGCCAACCAGGGTACAGTTCTCTGTGAGCTGTGTCCCCTAGCAGCCTCAGTCTCCCCATTGCTAAGTAGGACTCATCCTGAGGGTGAGTGAGAAATTCCAGAGAACTGCCTTCCTGGTCCCAGGTAGGGAAGACACCAGCTCCCTGGGGGGATGGGTAGGGGCAAGGTCCTTGCCTGCACCTGCTCCTGAGCCACCCTCACCTGGCTTCCCCTCCCTGGGCAAATATTTGCTCCTCCCCAGGTAGCTGCCAGCTGCTTCCGGTTCCTCCCAGCTACAGGTGGGAACATGGATCCTCCCTGCCTCTGTAGGTTTGGGGGTCGCAGGCCACCTCTCTCACTTCCCTCCAGGTTCTGGAGGCTCAGGTTTTCATCTCCCTTCAGAGTTTTCTGGCCCCATTCTCCTCCCCTGCCTCCCTCCTCTGAAACTCTCCTCCCATCTCACCTCTTCCCTACCTTTCCTCCTCCCTCCCCTTTCACCTCCTCTCTTCTCTCCTCTCACTTCTCTCCCCTCTTTCTCCTCCCCACCCCATTTCCTCTCTTCTAACCTCCTCCCTTACCTCTCCATCTCTCACCTCCTTACCTCTCTCTTCTCTCCCTTCTGTCTTACATCCTTTCTCTCCAGCTTTCTTGCCCACTCTATCACTCTATGTGCTTTCAACCCACACTCCCACCCCTGAGGCCCCACAGGACTCTCCTCTCACCTCTCTCTTTCCTTCCACAGCTTCAGAAGTCTTGGGGCTCCAAGGACACCCCAGCCAAGGCCCTGATGAGGCAGCGGGGCACTGGAGGGGGCCCCTGGGCTGAGGCTGACTCCCGTCCGCTCCCTCTGGCCTGGTCCCAGCCCTGGGGCGGTCCTCTGCCCTTCATCCCTGCCCGCCACTTCTGCTATCTGTCCCCAGCCCAAAGGAGGTTTGGTGAAGATGCTGCATCCAAACCCCCAGAGGCCAGAGGCATCCAGCAGCCAGACTGGGCTTCCTTCACAGGACCTGGGGGGCAACCCTGATAGGAGCCCAAGCCAAATCTGGCTGCCCACCAGAGGAGAGCTGGATGATGAGTCAGTTCAGTGTCCCAGCCTTGGCCTTATTGTTGGGCCTTGAGCAAGGACTCTGGCCTCTTTATCTGGGAAATGGAAAGGTTTTTCCCACTTGTTCTAGAACTTGGGCAAACACAGTGCCCATCCTGGACCTCAGTGTCACAGTCCAGAAAATGGAAAATGGGCAGGAAGTCTCCACCAGCTGTGGATCCCAAACAGCCCATGTCCTACTGGGGGGTCAAGACTTCTCTGAGGAGAGGCCTGGCTGAGTGCCCATCCTCTGCTGGAATCTTGTGCAGTTACAATGTGGAACCCTAGGACAAAACTCATGGTGCCCACCATGTTCTGGAGCTGGGTAAACTGAGTCAAGGAGCTTACTTAACAGAGGGGCTGCAAACTTGTGGGGACATAACTGGTGGGGGATGGGCCATGGTGGGGGACTGGGTAGCCAGTGGAACTTTTTGTGGGTGCTAAGAAGGTGGGTCTGCAGGAGCTTCTCTTTCCTTCTTCTCAGAATAAACTGCTTCATGCCAAAAGTATGCATTTGCCATGAAAATGACCAGCCTGACCAACAAACCAAGAGTTTGGGCCCCCAGACCCTGCCCCCTCCCTTACTTGGGAGTCCTCGGTCCCCCCTCCCCTGGTCCCAGGGGTCCCAGCCCCTTCTCCCTTGGACTGCGAGTGTCCCAGCACCGCTTCCCTCAGACCTGGGAGTTGGCCCAGCCTTCTTGCTAGGAAGTCAGATGCCCAGGGCTGGGCTCCCATAGCACCTTTGTCTCTGGGTGGGGCTCCTGATCTCTAGCCATGGTGCCCTATCAGGAAGAGGCCCCCAGTGAGACTATGGGGTCCCCACCCCAGCTCCTACCCCCCTGACCCCAATGCCACCTCCACAGAGCATCAAGGAGCCAGGGCTGGAACAGAGTGTTTATTCTCAGGGTCACTGGTGGGAAGACTCCGAGGCCTGGTTGGACTTGGAGCTGGGTATGGGGCTGGGCTTGGGCTTGGGCTCAGGCTCTGGGTCCTGGCTATCCTCATCGTCGTTGGGTTCCTTGTCCCAGGGGAAGGTTGGCATTCCCTGCATCTTCTCACGGTAGACCCGATTGAAGGCTTCGCTCTGTGCTACCGTGAAGTGGTTCTTCCAGTCACCAGAGACCCCTGGAGAGGGGAGGGACACGGGTGAGCATCATCCCCACCCAGCACCCCACTTCCTGGCCTTTGCCAGAAGCACACACATTCCTGCCTCCCTCTCCCTCCACTTCCATTTTGCCCCCTTTGCCACCTGTGATGACTCCACCTTGACCTGGCCTGAGTCCTGGCATCATTCTCACCCCTTCCCAACCCTGACTCCCTCTTCACTCCCAAGTACACCTCTTTTTTTCTTTTTCTTTGAGACAGAGTCTCAGTTTGTTGCCCTCAGTAGAGTGCCATGGCATCAGCCTAGCTCATAGCAACCTCAAACTCCTGGGCTCAAGAGATCCTCTTGTCTCAGTCTCTGGAGTAGCTAGGACTACAGACACCCGCCACAATGCCCAACTAGTTTTTTTTAAGAGATGGGGTCTTGCTTTTGCTCAGGCTGGTCTCAAACCCCTGAGCTCAAGCAATCCACCTGCTTCGCCCTCCCTAGAGTGCTAGAATTACTGGCATGAACCACCATGCCTGGCTCCAGCAGACCTTTTGCCAGTCCTCTTATCCTTTTTTTTTTTTTTTTGAGACAGAGCCTCAAGCTGTCCCACTGGGTAGAGTGCTGTGGCATCACAGCTCACAGCAACCTTCAACTCCTGGGCTCAAGTGAGTCTCCTGGCCCGGCTATTTTTTGGTTGCAGCCGTCATTGTTTGGCGGGCCTGGGCTGGATTCGAACCCGCCACCTTCGGTGTATGTGGCTGGCGTCTTAGCCACTTGAGCCACAGGCACCGAACCAGTCCTCTTATCCTTCACCACTTCATTCCCTCAGTATTTTTCTCAGGTCACCTTCTCTGTGACCACTCCCTAACATCCCCTGCTAGGACAGGGCTTCCTCACTTAGGGCTCCCAGACGCCTTGCACCACCTCCATGACTAGTCTCCCCACAGGCCCCGGGTGCCAGGCTGCATGGATACCCTCATGCCAGTGAGCTAGTTCCCAGCTGTGTGCCCTGGGCGAGCATAGAGATCCTCCCAGACCCAGTCTTATCACCCAGCATCCATCTGGGGCATCATCACCTGGAAACCTGGGCCAGTGGTACTTAACAAATGCTCATGCCAGACACTACATGACACTCTCAGGGAAGTCCTGGGGAGGGGCTCCCAGTGGTGGGCTGAGTATCAAGCCCCTCTGCTTCCACATGCTAATCCCAGAACCTGTGAATGTGTGACCTGACATGGCCAAAAGGATTTAGCAGATTTAGATTTAGCATGATTAAGCTAAAGATCTTTAGAGGAGGAGGTTGGCCTGGATTGTCCAGGCCCAGTGACATCACAAGGGTTCTCATAAGAGGGAGGCAGGAGAACCAGTGTCAGGGATTAGAAGATGCTTTGCAGACTGAGGAAGAGGCCCCAGGCCCTGGACTCCAGGTGGGTCAGAAACTGAAAATGCAGGGCGTCTCCTTTAGCTTCTGGAAGGAAAATGTTCCTTTTGACACCTTAATTTTAACCCATTGAGACTGATGTCCAACTTTTGACCTCCAGAAGTATAAAAAAAATACCATGTTGTTTTGAACCACAAAGTTTGTGGCTTTCTTTTTTTCTTTTTTTTAGCGTTAGGGTCTCGGCGCCAGCCACATACACCTAAGGTGGTGGGTTCGAATCCCCAGCCCAGGCACGCCAAACAACAATCATGGCTGCAACTAAACAATGGCTGGGCGTTGTGGTGGGTGCCTGTGGTCCCAGCTATTTGGGAGACTGAGGCAGGAGACTCGCTTGAGCCCAGAAGTTGGAGGTTGCTATGAGCTGTGATGCCATGGCACTCTACCCAGGGGGATAGCTTGAGGCTCCTTCTCAAAAAAAAAATAGAGTTAGGGTCTCACTATCTTGCTCAGGGTAGTCTCAAATTCCTGGGCTCAAGCGATACTCCTGCCTTGGCCTCCCAAAGCCTGGGGATTACAGGCATGAGCCACTGCACCCAGAACTGTGGCCCCCCCCCCTTTTTTTGTGATGGAGACTCACTCTGTCACACCCTGGGTAGAGTGCCAGGGCATCATCATACGTCACAGCAACTTCAAATTCCTGGGCCCAAGTGATCATCCTTCCTCACTCAGCCTTCTGAGTAGCTTGGCTAATTTTTCTATTTTAGTGGAGACAGGGTATCACTCTTGCTTAAGCCGGACTCAAACTCCTGAGCTCAAGTGATCCTCCAGCCTTGGCCTCCCAAAGTGCTAGGATTGCAGGTGTGAGCTCTCTGGATGGACAAGGAAAACCTTAAATGGCAGGCACATGTGTCCAGTTGGTGCTAAGCCCTGTATGTGGAGTGAACCCTGAGTCCACAGTGACCTTGTTATAGTTGGAGACACTGAGGCCCACCAAGGTTAAGTAACTGGCCCTTGTCACATAGCCAGGTAGTGACCTAGTGGGCTCCACACCTTTCCGAAGGAAGGCCCCATGGCGGTGGTCCAGCAGGCTGGGGGGCAGCAGTGTATAGTTGGACATGGTGTTGGCCTTCATGACACCGAAGGTTGAGTGTGCCACAACGGAGTCCAGTGCCTCCTCGCTCAGTGGCCGTCCCAGAAATTCACAGATGTGCTGCACAGAGCTTCGAAAGTCCTGGGTGGGGGTTAGGGGAGAGGCATCAGCAAGGGGTGGGCACCTGACCCAGGAAGGAGCACAGGACCCAGAGTCTGGATGTCCTGGTTCCAACCCAGGGTTGACTGGGGGACTGTGCCTCTTTATCTTCCCATTTCTAAGCTGAGAGACTAGACTACAGCTCAAGGGTTGTCAGAGGGTTCCATGGGTGGGAGGGCCAGGGTAGAGTGGGGACAGAGGCCAGTTTGGCACCTTGTTCAAGTTAGAAACAGACATTGGCTGGTCAGTGCCTCAAACCTCCTGCTCCCCTGGGGCTCTGTCTCAAGGAGTCCCCATGATTCATCCATTCACAGGGCCAGACTCCTGGGCCTGCCTTCCCTGGTTGTTCCCCTCACCCAAGCCCCCGCCCCTGTCATTAGCCCTGGCCTTCCTGCCTTCACCGTCCTCCCTGCCACATTCCCTTCTCTGTGTCCCCACAGCCTTAGCACTGGCTCAGGCTGTGTCCTCTCCTTCTTGGACCCTCAGCCTAGCCTGCTCCCCAACCTCTCTGCCTCCAATCTCCTTCCTCATCAAACTCATTCTGCATACCCACACCAACCCTGCTATCCCAGCTCCCAATTCTTCCATGGCTCCCCAGTGCCCCGGGATATAGTCCAGCTGTCAGGCCTGACTATCAGGGACAGGTATGGTCTGATCTTCACATGGGGCTATCAGAAAGGCCCTTTGGCATTGCTACAGCTCAAATATTAACTTCCACATGACAGTGATGGTTCAAGTCACTATAGACTGAGTGCCTACTGTATACCAAGCTCTGATCCAGGCCCCTGCATAGAGATTTGCGCCTATCCTGCCATTAGCTTTTTTTTTTTTTTAATTTTTTTTTTTTTT